TGATTGCTAATTGGACACAGAACTATATAAAATAGGTTTGAGTCATTTCCAATGAATTTGTATACTATTGTGAGTTGTCAGGGTCATTCTTGGGGGAGGGCGATCAGACGTACATTCGGGACCAAAAAAAATAGACCCATTTTTTCGTATATATTATATAGTGTATAGTAGTAGTATATACGTGACGTGGAAATCCAAATGATTTATATAAAGTGTTACTCTGAATAGTCAACATTATGGTTGATGACTCCAAATGATATCAATCTATATACTAAAGATATATCATAGAATGTACTTGGGTGTGGAATGGATTTATGATGCTACGTGAAAATGATATGATATATAATATTTGTTTAAAGTAATTATTGATTGATTTTGTCTATGAATACTCGAAAAAACGGTTTTATATGAATTATGAATATTTTCTGAATTCGATGTTATTTGTAATGATGAAAACAATATATTGAAATTTCTTTCATACTTATCAAGGATCACTTTTTACATCTCGCACATGGCCTATAAAATGTATGGAACGGCCCTGTGAGTTGTAGACGTGGGAGGATTAATCGGTTTTGCCATGTTTAACTTGTTTAGAATGAAAATATATGAATCAACCAAATCTATGTTCATCTTCAACTTGTAGTAATGGCTCGACACAAAGTTTAAATCTTATTTAGGTATTTTTATGAATTATCATATATGTGTCGATAAATAAACCGTAAAATTTCAGACTTTAGACATGAGTTTTTGTGTCTTTCATCACAAAGAAGAGAAACAAACCTTATTACTTTATAAGACAAATTAGAACGGGTATTGATAAAATAGTTAATGGTATATTAACAAGCACAATCGTAAACAAAATACAAGATGAATTATGGGTAGATATTAAATTGTAATGTTAATCAGGATGTGCGTACGACTCGAAAACGTAGAAATATGTACAACTTGGTAATACATAAAAAATCAACAGGCAAAATTGGAAATGTCAATAAGTTGACTTAGACTTTCTTGATTAATTTATATTGGAAAAATGTCGACATTTAGTGTCATCATGGATCCTGATTAATAGCATTGATTATATTATTATCTTCTTGCTTAAATGAAAAAACAGTAATTTACAAATTTCGTCCTTGTGTTATATAAAAATTTGGATTAGATCTATCAAACTAAATAATTACAGATACATACATCATATTTTTATTTTTGTTGTGAATTTGATCTCTTAACCTAACTCTGTTAAATATGTCTTCGTTAAATTTCCCATGTACCTTACTAGAATTTTTTGTTTCGAGTACGTTTCACATATATCCTAAAAGACCCTTCTTTTACTTCTCTTTGTTTTTCACTCTCAAAAAAATAAAACCCAAAAAAACCTTCTAAAAAAGAGAATCCCTTCTCTAACAAACCCTTTTAAAAAAAAAAGACAACAATCTTTTTACGTTAAACCTTAAAATCTGGAAAAAAACGATTAAACTAAATTTTTTGATAGGACTAAAATCAATACAATTTCTTCTGAGACTTCTTTATACTTATATACAAGTTTACAAAAAGCCCACGTCAACGACGTAGAATCTAAATCCGAACAAAAATAGATTAAGATTGGTGTTACTGTAATTCTCACTGAAAACTGCTATTTCCAACGACAAGAAAACGTCTCAAGGATATAAGTCTTTATGAGTCCCTAACTAGCTCGACTTTACTCAAGTGTTGCTAGTACCGTTGCCACGAGGACCATGCTCTTCCACATTACTTGATCCAACATCCAAAATATAGGTTGCCTATCACGACCCATCTTTATCCCTAGCCAAATGTTGTCTTAGGCATACAACAAATCCCAACAGCCTTGATCCATATCCCTTAAAAACAAATTTGGGTACCTTCTTCCTCACCCAATACCTGACCTATTATGATCAGTTCATATCCGCCGCCATGATACCCTATTTCAAGCTTCGATCTCATGACTTTTTGCTGTGTTTTCTTAATGATATTAGTTCCTAACTCGATACTAACCAAGAGCCAACAATATTTAGCAAGAAATTTCAACAAAATGGTTGGGTTTCTATTTATGGAAATATTTACCACCGTTTTTCGGAAATGAAAGAAGTCTACCAAAAGCCTTGGTACTTGTCTGATCAATCACACTGATAACTTTGGGCAATGGCTACTTGAATTAGTGGCCTTAACGTACAACTCAGAATGTATTTCTTACCGGAATTACATACCCAATTCATAGAATAACGTCAAAGTTTATCTTAGTTTTTGAAACCTTGCTAATCATGACTGAACCCAACTCAAACTCCAACCTCTTCCGTTCTTTGTTTGCTCTCCCTTTTTTTTCACGATTGTTCAAGGGGTTTTGTTCATTTTAATGTAATAATTGGCATCAAGATCCCCAATTTATATGCGCAAATGACCCTAATTTCACACTAATGTGTGCGGATTAAGTTCAGGGTTTCCGGAACCCCAACTTTCCGAAACAAAAATATGTTGTCACCAAGTTTCTGTCATTTTCAATGTCTACCAATTACGTAAAGTTACATCATTATTTTTGTGAACAGAAAAAATAAAAAAGATGAATTAAATTAAATAATGATATATATATATATATATATATATATATATTCACGTGATTGATGTGATAGTAAGGACAGAAGATTTTGAGATAGCATATTTAATTCAACCTGTCGTTATTGACTTTGGAGAATATATTGCCAAAACAAACACCTCACTTTCTATTTGATCAATTTTCACCCAAACAAAAAAAAATCTTTGCAAAATATATACTATATAATTTACATATTTTTTTTACTTCCAATACCTTTTGTGTAACTCTAAATGCCTAGCTCAATTTACGTATAGTATACATCTACTAATCACATAAGATCTTGAAGCTAGCAGTGAGACAAACCTCAATCAAGAATTTGTGTAACTCTAAATGCCTTTCATGAAGTTCTCAAATGCACACAGCTTCACTTTACTCTTTGTATATATAAATTTCAGTGATGGTCCTTTTCGTACAAGAATTTGCGTTTTGAGTGGCTTGTTCTGTTGTTCATGTAAGATTTGCTAGGTTAATTCACATATGTGGCTGGATTTGAGTGTGCAGATAGAGGAAGAAGCTTTGAAACAACTAAATATGTTGTTGCCTCATTCAAAGCCATTAAATAATTGTATTAAGGGACGGATCTATAGTAGTGGTGCATATGGTGGCACATATCACCGTATTATTCATCTATCGAAGGATAAAAAAAATTAGGTTCGTGAAAGGTGCAATCATATTAATCTGTTATGTGCCACCGTATGTATTTTGAAACTACAATGATAACAAGGTTTATTTGATAGAGTTGGTTTGCAAGGATTTTATTCCACCACATACACAAATTCGAATACTGTTAGTGTCATTTTCTTATTCAGATGGTGCCGCCGTTTGAAAAAAAATTATGTATATTTGTTTCTTATACTCAAACGATGCCACCGTTTGAAATTTTTTCAATATAATTTTTTTCTTATAATCAAATGGTACCACCGTTTGAAAAAATCTCTGCGTCTGTCCCTGATATTCATAAGGCTTTTGCAGAGCAATTATGCATGTGACATGCCCCTCTTATCATATTTTAGTTTTAAAGTTGAATGTGGATATTTTTGTAATATTGTATTTTTAGTAACTTAGTAATATTATTCGCTATTTAGGTAAAATTCTAATAAATATGAAAATTCAATTTTTTTTTTAAATATGCAATATTTTTGACAGATCACTGACGGATTGCCGGTAATTTTATTTTTTTAAAGTAATTCAATGAAAACTAAGGGCTTGTTTGTTTTTTGAAAAAAAACCATTTAATGCCTCTTAACTCTTAAGTCTGAATTGGTCAGACGTTTTTATTTTCAAACCGTTTGTTTTTTTATATAAAAAAGAGCTGAATAAGCTCTTAATTTGCTCTGAAAAAAAAATTGATAGCATAATCACTTAAATCCTCTTAATCGCTCCCTCCAGACTCTCCCCTCCATCCTCACCTCCAGATTTAATCCTCCAAATCTATCTCGCAAGACATTCGATCTCCAAATCAATCACGACCCAGATCGATCCACATATTCTCGTAAAATCATGACCCAGATCGATCCAAATCTATCAGATCTGAAACTTGACTGATTCAGATTTCAGATTTCAGACGTAAAAACAAACAGTCTGACAGATTCAGATTTCAGACTTCAGTACCACCTTATTAAAATTCTAAAGTGAAATCAGACTTAAGACTTCATAACCTCTTAAAAAACAAACACTACCTAATTAAATTTCTGGCGGAATTAAATTATCAACGGATAATTAAAATATTAAAAATAAATTAAAAAGAAAGTTAATTTAAAAATAAGGCGGATGTTCCACCGGAAACTTAATCTTAATTAGTAATTTTAATTAACTAAGTCAAGTAGGAAACCAAAAAGTCTAAAAAAAGTTAGTGGTGGATTTCCAAAGGCTGGAAATATTCAGTCCGCTAGAAATTGGGTTTTCTAGCGGTCAGAATCTGCCGGAAATCGTGTTTTCCTGCAGATTTCTGGCAGATTTGTCCACCAAAAATCTATCTTGTTTAGAATTGAAATTAAGCATACCTCTACTAATCCAATATGTCTTAGAATATAAACTTAACATCCAACAAACCTTCGGGTGTCCTGAGAGAAACGAACTAATTACATACGGGGAACACTAACTTCTCTATATCCCAACATTTTTCATGAATCAAACCTCTTTCTTTATCATTTAAACTTAAATATCAAACATCAACTGGAATTAGATCATGTGTTGGTGCTACAAATGAACTTAGATCTGTTAAGTAGAACATGAGAGAGTTGTTCAAAAAAATTATAATAATATACTTTAATAAATAAAAAGATAATAAAAGATATGTTTGTGAACTTTAGGTATTTGTCATATTCGTTTCTTGGAAGATTCTCATCATGTTTCAATATAAAAGGAATGCTTAATTGCCTAGATGTGTGCACTGAGAACTCAAAATCAATGTTGAAGGTGGCCGTTGTCGGAGCCGGACTCTCCGGGCTAATCGTGGCTCGGGAGCTCCAACGAGAATCCCATGAAGTCGTGGTTTTAGAAAAATCACATCGATTGGGTGGAGTTTGGGTCTATGATCCAAGGATCGAGTCTGATTTACTGGGGTTTGATCCAGATAGAGAAATTGTTCATGCTACAATTTACAAATCTTTACGTACAAATAGTCCGCGCCAGATAATGGGATTTTCAGATTATGCATTCCAAGGGAAAGAATACGGTGATCCTAGGATGTTTCCCGGGCACCAAGAGCTTCTAAGATACTTGGAAGATTTTGCGGAAACATTTGGAGTAACGAAACTCATTAGGTTTAATTCGGAGGTCATCCGAGTCGAATCACTGAGCCCGGGAAATGAGTTTGTGGTCGAGTCAAAGAAGAGTGGGCTGAGTTTGGGTTCGAGTTCAACCTTGACTGAGATCTTTGATGCAGTGGTTATTTGTAATGGTCATAACACTCAACCTAGGGTGGCTGTTGACATTCCTGGTATGTAATGTGCACTTATTAATTAATTATAATACTGTCATGAATACCTTTTTTACATTTTATTTAATTATTTATTAACTCAATTTTATATTTTTCTGATAAAAAAACGTGTTTGGTTAATATTAATCAAATTCAATGATGCATAAAATAATATGCCATGATCTTCTTTTAAAATGTATTATAATTAATGTAACCACTTTTGCTCATCTCATATTTAGTTCAATGATATATTTTTTTTTCCTAAATTAGGTTTCATTTACCGACTTAAATAACGTACATGTTTATTGGGTAAGTGGACACTTCGAAGATGATGGTTCAATTTAGGTAAAAATTGACCAAGTAAGTGAGACTTTTGATCGTCACTAGATAGGGTCTCGGTCAACGACATTGTCGATTAGAGGTTGTGAATAAACAACATCATCGTATGCTCACTATTAATTAAGAGGATATTGATAAACATCGTTGTGTTTAACCATGCGCTTACCTATTAATTAAGAACCATTAAACGTTTAGTAAAATGGCTCTTAATTATTTTCTTTAACAAACATAAAATTATTTCTATTTGGTACTCATTTTTCCTTGATCATTAACCGGGTTTTCAACGTATCAGTTGCTTTGATGTCATAATTTTTTCCCGTAATATAATTTGACAACTTGACATTTACGTTATTAATAGTTACACAAATCTACGTGTTAGTCGTTAGAATTGGTTAAATAAAAGAAAGAATTGAACTTCCATTACACTATAAGAGAAGAAAAAAAAAGTAACTGAACTAAAACAAACTTCGTTTTATTTTGATACATTTTGGTGTTAGCTAGTCAAAACGAAGTACTAATATGAAAAAGACAGGGTTCGAATGTTTAAACCGAAAAGATTTATTTATTTTCTCTTTGCTTTCATTTCTTAACACGAGCAGGAATCCTCGAATGGTCTAGGAAGCAACTTCATGCTCATAACTATCGAGTTCCTGAACCATATCGAGATCAGGTTTGTAAGCCTTTTTATTTATTGATATCAAGAATTTGTTTACATTTGAAGGTTATTTTTAGAAATTCGACTGATTCACGAAACTTCACAGGTTGTGGTTATAATAGGGAATGGGTCGAGTGCATATGACATATCTAGGGAAATAGCGGTTGTCGCCAAAGAAGTTCACTTATCGTCAAGATCGCCAAACGTTAAGGTCTCAAAACTAGACAAATATAATAATATATGGCAGCATTCGAAGGTAACATTCAAATTTCTTTTGAAAGTTTTATACTTGATAGCAGGGTCGGTCCTAATATTTTATAAGCTCCGTACAAAAAACTAAATATGCCTTTAATTTTTTAATTTATATTATTAATTTATTAATTATTTTTTATCACATTTTGACATTTGTTTAATAATAAATCAACCAATATTAAAATATATTAAATATTTTCTTAAATATTAAAAAAAGTATAAAATAAATCATTAAAAGAAACTAAACAACCAAAGTTATTTAGAGCATCTCTAATAGTTATTATATAATTTTATTAAAATAAAGAATTTAAATTTAAAATCTTTAAAAAAAATTACATTCAACTTCAAAAGCTACTCTATTATAACAATTTCAGTATTAATTATATCAGTAAAATATTTTATACATTTATCGTCACAATACACTTTAAAAGAATATTATAAAAAATTATAATTCATTAATCTTACTGATGGAACCAATTAAAATAATATATCTCTGTACTAAAAGTTAAGTTTTAAAGATTTCTATTTTTTTTTCTATATTTTAGCAAACACTGATAACATAGTTGTTAGAATGATCTAAATCATTATACTTGAAACTCTCAAAAAAGAAAAGCTAGATGAAATCTTTTGTTTTAGCTATTGTATTAATTAGGTTATATAGTAATTTATTACAAGTGAAAAATTAAAAAAAAAATTAGAGACCCTGTACGGTAGCATCACTTGGCACACCCCAAAAAATGGCCATGCTTGCTAGTACATCAAAAGGGTCTAATTTACTGGATAAAACGATTTATCCATGCACCTCAACTAATGTGATGAGACTTCGAAGTTATCAAACTGGCAAACCTCCGGTGGCTCTGAAGGGACTTGAACTCATCAGTGGTCACCTTTAAGGAGCAATTTACCTACGGTCATACCATTTAAGCTACCCTTCAGGGTTCACTTTACCCTTTTTCTCGACTGATTCTGACCTTTCATGATGGATTCTAAACTAACAAGGAGACTGAAACTCAACTTGTATATATGTATATTTGTCATAGATCGATCGTGTTTTCAAAGATGGCACAATACAGTTTCAAGATCATGTCTCCATTACTGCAGATACCATCATTCATTGTACCGGGTACGAAACTAAGACCCGAAAATACTTTGTTTCCATACTTTTTGTAGGAATTTCAATGATATGTCTCCTCATTTTAATGTGTTAACTAACAGGTATGAATTTCATATTCCATTTCTTAAAACGAATGGCATTGTAAGCATCAACGACAGCCGAGTTAGGCCTATTTACGGACATGTTTTCCCTCCACAACTTGCTCCTAGACTATCTTTTGTCGGCTTATTTAATATGGTTAGTTTGTAACTATGTTGTGCTTCTTATTTGATTGTCATCTTTACAAAGATTGTTTAATTACATTATGCACAATGTGACTACAAAAATATTTGAAAACTCGTTAGGTTACTTTTAGAAATAGTATTTAACAAAAGAATATATGTTTCAACATGTTTCAAGAGAAATGATTTCAACATATAAAGAGCGAATGTCGAGTCCCTAAAGTGGTAGACCAGACAGTAGACCTTGACTCTGAAGCAATGTGAATACACATAGATTACTTCCTAAAAATGCCCTTGAGGAGAGAAGGAAGTTTCAACGTATATTTCGGAGAAAGGATCGAAATCTAATTGATATAAAAATTCAAAACAAACTAACATTGAACCATGATGCCAAAATTTAATCAGGGTATGACGTTTCTTCCAGCCGAATTGCAGTCAAAATGGATAGCTCGAGCATTATCAGGGACGATCTCTTTGCCGTCAGAAAAGGAAATGTTGCATAACATCGAACATTTTTATCGACAAATGGAAGAGAGGGGAATCCCCAAGCGTAACACTCATTCTCTTAATCATAACGTAAAATATTCTCAAATTTCATATTATTTCAAATGTTATGCTCTATTTTTCTCAAATAAAATGTTATACTCTTTTAATAATCGTGTTCTTTTACTCATTTTATTTTCACGATGATTTAACAGATGGATTACTTGGATTGGTTATCAGACCAGTTAGGAATAACACGACCTCCACAATCATTGAAAGTCTTCTATGCTCGTTTTATAAAACATTTTCATAGTGATCATGAAGGGTTCCGTGAAACGTTTGAAGACAATTGTTTAATCAATGATGAGATATAAACCATTTGACCACTCTTATCTTTTAATTCATCTTGCATTAATCATTGATTTGTTGATGTTCCACTGATATCATTGAGTTTTATTTCTCAACCATAAATTGTGTCAAGATGAATGTTTTGCTTGGTTTATCGATGGCCATATTTTATCATTTGCACTATTATTTAACGGGTGTTACTATATGTAATTTACACCAAAAATAAAAGAAAACAACAAATTTTTAGAACAAAACCAATATATAGATTATTTTGATTTAGGGTTTTGTTTTGGTTTACATTGAGGGTCAGAGGAGATCAGGAACAAAATCCATAGATGATTTACATTTTCTTGGATCTCCTCCCGACGCTACTTTCTTCTCCTTGATCTATGAGCACAAACTACAAAAAGAAATCTCAGATAGGGTTTTGGTTGTGGTAGTAGTCGCCATTAGAGACAATGAAGTGGAAAAGGAGTATTGTTATTGAGTATGGGAGATTGAAAAACTATACTCCTAGATTTTATACTTTGAGAGGGGAAGTGAGCAAACTCTAAAAATATTGAGAATGTTTTTTTTATTTATGTCATGTAATGAGTGTTAACATGTCATTTGCATCTTCTTTATTAAACCATGTAAGTGGGAAAAAAAAAGGTTAAGCGGTTTAGAATGTAACAGTTGCCTGTTGTTATAATGGTAGAATTTTGAAAATACAGTGCTCTAATAAGAAAATAGAGTAAAGTTCACTTTTGGTCATTAAAGTTTGTCCCTTTTAATGGATATCGTCCCTCAACTTTGTTTTCTTGGATTTGGTCCCTCACGTTTGTCACTTCGCTACGCTTTTTATCCCTCCATCTTACCTTCGTTAATTTTCTCTCTCAGATCTAGTTTAATGAAGGGTATTTTAATTATTTCAAATATTTGTGTTATTTTATATTAAGATTAAAATTATATGTGGAGTAAATTACGGCTTTGGTCCTTGTGGTTTACACTTTCTATCTACACTGGTCCAAAATCAAAATAAATACAAATATGAGACTCATGGTTTACATTTTTGCACACATTGAGTTCGTCCCTATAACGAAATCAAAAAGATTCCATGCACTTGGTTAAATTTGGAGGTATTAATGAAGGGTAGATTAGGAAGTTTGTATTATTGTGTTACAAGAGTAGTTGGTAGATTTAGTATATATAGTTTTAGAGGTTGTTTACCAACAATAGCTAGTAAGCGCTATCTGAAATAAGAGGTCTAATTAGAGTAAGCATCTCTGACTGGAATAAGTGTTGTTTGTAAAAAAAAACTGTTTACCAAGTATTCTGGATTTGATGCTGACTAATAAAAAAATGTCCATTATAACCATATATGTGATGAAGTGTTTAAAGTAATGCAACTATTTACCAAATATTATGTATGAATAATTGTTGAAATGACAAAAATACAAATTTCATAATTGAAATATATTTAGACCATAAAATAAATTGAATTTAAACATAATAATTGTCGCACAAATCTTAATTTGAAATATTAGACAATAACTTATTTGCAATCTAATCACGCAAACTTGTCATATAATCACTGTCTTGAGAACTCCACTGCATTTCATTGACTTCTATTTCATTGCTTCCTTCATGTTTTTCTTCAATGATCGTAAACATGGCGTTCTCATCCTGTTCCATGAATAATTGGTCTTGGATATTCCATTCCTTCTAAAGTTATGAATCGTGAAACAAGCAATCACCATATCTTTTTGTATTGGAAAAGAATAAGGAGTCATTTGCTTCAGGATTAAAAATCTTGTTTTTAAGACACAATACGCACGCTCGATAACATTTCTAAGTTATGCATGAGCATAATCGAACATTTCTTCTTTTGTTAATGCACGCCTACATCGAATCTCTGCTACCCAATACCTCGTATTGTGATACGGAGTCAGAAATCCACGGGTACAAGTATATGCAGTATGATAAAGATAATATTCATTTGTAATTATATCTACAACTTAAAAAATATGGATTAATCATAACCTTTTAATGTTAAGAAAATGATACTTACTTGATGAAGGAAACGAAAATCCCGAAGTTGGGTTAAGTGCAACTTCCCTCAAAACTCTAGAATCATGTGCAATGCCTTTCCATCTAACTCATACAAACGTGGATATCATATTATAATCACGGATGGCTAAAACGTTTTGGTAGCATTCCCCTATTCGTCTTCCTCTATATCTTGTTTGTTGATCATTAGGCATAAGTCACAAATTCCTCTATACCCTGCATGTGTCAGGGTTCCATTTAATACACCTCTAGCCCCTTTAAAGAACAACAGTATAAGAAACATGTAAAAAAGATATCAAAAACGTTTAGAAATTATCAAATTAATAACATAAATCATACTAGAAATATTTCTTTGATGTGCCTAAATCTCTCTGATGTATTTGGTTCCAACAATCGATGTTAGTCCTACTACCTCTCTCGCGAATTCCATTATTCCTCTCAATACTTCATGAAAACAATTATGAATAGTCTACATAGAGTGTTGAAATCTACGTTTAACCATTCAAAAGCGTTTATTGTGAGCAACAATTGTCAAAAACATTGTCATCTTTTCTTCAACACTTGTTTGCCTACTTAATTGCAGCCAATTTTTTTGTTTAAAATGGTCGCATAACATTATAAAGGCATGACGAGATATCCACATCAATTCATGACATTGCGTATTGGATCTATTTAATAATTCTTTTGTGTATATGCATGTCCAATGAGAACTGAAGTGTTATCTTTCATCCTTTCTATTAGTAAAACATAAGTTATACTCATGTTAATTTTGAGAATTTAAAGTTGTTATAAAACTTTTTTAGGGCATCCTAATGAATCTGATTAATTTAGGAGGCACAGTTAAAAAAATTACCAGTTTTGTTTACTAAAAACTATATTGAGATTGATACATGGTTCTTATTATTAATTGAATATCCAATTCTCGCATATCAAGGAGATGTGTATTTTGGGTTATAAGGATGACATATCAAGGAGATGTGTATAATGGGATAAATGTGGCATATCAAGTGTTAATAATTATCGCATCCTTATGATGCGATAACTTAGGATTCTCGCATTTGTGTGGTGCGATAACTTTGAGTTTTGATGCGACGAAGTGCGGTTATCGCACCTATATGATGCAAGGAGTAAGTTTATCGCATCCTTGTAATGCGAACAAAGTTGATTTATCGCACCTGTGTAATGCGACAACTTGGGTTTATCACATCAGTATGATGGGATGAGTTGTGGTCCTCGCGCCAGTGTGTTGCGAGGAAATGGGGTGTCTCACCCATGTGATGTGAGAAAATTTTATAATCATGTATATGATGCGACAAGTTTATTCATAATGTGTTCATTAAGTTATTTGGGTATTTTGATGCAATAAATAAGGTTTGTTATATCAAAATGATGTATATTTGTTATTATTATGAATATGATTTCATAAATATGATTTGGTGATCTTTCATCTTGTAATTGCATCAAAAGGATTTCTTACTAGACCTCAAGATTTAACCTTCATTTTGTGTTTCAAAAATGTGCATTACAGATTGGACACAACCAAAGGATGAGGGGAAGAAAAAATTGTGAAGTGATAATATTATGTTTGCGTGTAATTTTGGGGCTAGCAAAATCTTATTTTGTATCTGGATACTTGTCATGTATTCATGTGTATATAGATATTTTATGGAAAAAGTTGGCTACTTTGTAATGTAGCCTTTGTAGATATTGGGACCGAATGTGTAAAATTATATTACTTAAGATATGGAAATGTATGTTTATATCCAAATGTGATCTTGGGGTGTTACAACTTTGATATCAGAGCCTGAGTTTTCAACATGATGTCTAGACTTAAACTATAAAGGTCCCTGACATACGTTGAATCATTGGAATAAATATGATGGGTTAAGAGAATAAAATGTAAGGTAATTTCAAATTACAACTGGCCAATGTAATTATGAAATTACAAATACATATTTGTACTTTGATACCTTATTATATTTGGGAATGTGATTTAGTGAATATTAAATATTGAAAATTTACAGATGACAAGTCATTCACTAAGATCTGAAAGGATCGCCCTTATTAGCACGGATGAAAGGGAGAGTTCACCAGAAAATATTTCTACAAATCTACCAGCGAGCAGAGGCAGAGGGAGAGTTCTGGGTAGAGGCCGTGGAAAGGGTCGTGAGAGAGGAAGGAATACTCAACCTGAATTTCATCCAGACCAGGGTGAATCAATTCAGGAGAACATAAATCAAGAACCAGTAAAATGTCCTAAGTATGTTACTCGAGACATGTTAACAGAAGATATGAGTAAACTAAGGAATACCCTGACATCTATTTTGGGGGTGCCGGCCAGGGTAGAGATAGAAAGGGTAGAAATAAATCCACATATTCAATCTACAAATATCATAGGGGGTGATATCAAAATGTTTTTAACCTGTAAACCCTCAACATTTTCTGGAGAAAGAGACTTGGTAAAGGCAATGTGTTGGTTAAGAGAGATAGAATCTGTATTCAATACCAGTAAGTGTTCATATGAAGATAGAGTCAGATTTGTTTTATCAAGGCTAAAGTCAAATGCTCTATACTGGTGAGACGTTGAATTACTAGCAAGACCCAATGTTTTGTAGACAATGTTCTAGATGGAATTTTTCAAACGATTCAGGGAGCAGTTCTATCCAAATGCAGTTGTTAGACAATTGGAAGAGGAATCCTTGAAGTTAGAACAAGGTAATCAGACGGTAAGGAATTACAATGAAAAATTTATCGAACACTCCCGATTTGCAGAACATTATATTTCTTCAAAATCCCGTAAAATTGAGAGGTACATCTGGGGGTTAAAGCCTTCGATACGAGAGTCCGTAATTGCCATGAATCCTTTAACTTTTTCATTAGCAGTAGATGCTACAGAAACAACTAAAAGGAACAAGAATAGGCAGGGAGAACGAAGTGATTGAAAAGAGGAAGTGGGAAGAGTCTTCTACTGAATACAGAAAACGAAAATTTGTGAAGACG